TTCAAGGAGCATTTCTATCTCTAGTTAGAGAAAGGCAGCATTTGTGAAAGTAGCGAAGAGGCAGATGCCAGCGGGTAGCACGGAATGCGCACGGTATTCTGAAGTGCATTATCGAGAAGACGAAGGAACAAGATATACTGCCGGGGAACAATTTTGACAGTGGAAGAGTGCTTCTTATGGTATCATTTACAGGGAATGAAAAAAATAGAGGGCGCAGAAAATTAAGCAGTTATATAGACTGTCGAATAATGAAAGACATGACGGAGGAACTGCTGAACGATTAATGTATCTGTATCAAATGTTAATAGTTGAACGGATAGATCATATTTCAAAGGTTCACATTTCCGCTCCTAAAGCTACCAAGCTCACAGGGTGATGATAGAGAAGTCTGGGTTGCACATAGGCGGAGGGATACCGGCAACTGTCTCCGGGCAGGAAGATAATTCAAGCGGAAAGAGCAGCAGAAATCTAATCACAATCGATAATTAAAGAGAGGGTTTTATTGCCGAAGAATTCTTGTAATTTATTCTAAGATAAAATCCGTATTCTTGCCTTTAAATTCATCACAAACCTCCATCTACTCTAAAACGTCTTCATCGCAATGTTCAATAATCTCCAAATTTCACGCACTCTAAGATTAGCCTTCTTCGCGGCTTTTGTATCGAACATACTGTTTATGATTTGATTCTTCTGTACCTCTCCAATGTCACAGTTTCTCTTCCTCTTCAGGTTAGTTAGGCACGTAATCATAGCCAGCTTCATCATGCCTCGTCAACTTTCCATACCGGCATTAAGTCTCTTTGGAGCTCTAATATCCATCTCCCAGAGACCCATATCCTTGAAAACGATGATCAAAATCAGGAACCTATGCAGCTAATTAGTATGATATGAGCACTGGATTACGAGATTGTGCATACCAATTCGTCGTTTGCGTCGTCGAACCAGCTTGCTCCAGCCACAAACATGGTTATCCCGACGAAATGATATCTGGCCACGAGTTTCGCCCACTCGTCCTCTTAATTCACAGGCGCAGAAGAAAACCATCGATCTCCTCCTCCGCGTTCTCCTTAAGAGACTCAATCCTTTATATTTCAGTTTGGGTCCACTTTTGACTGTAGGAAGCCTTTTTGCAGAAGAAAACCGTCGATCTCCTCCTCCACGTTCTCCATAAAATCCTCCAACATTCAGATACAAGTTGAGGCCCGCTTTTGACTGTAGAAAATCTTGTTGCAGAAGAAAACCGTCGATCTCCTCTACCATATTCACCATAAAATCCCCATCGCTCATGTACAAGTTGGGGCCGCTTTTGACTGTATGGAACTTTGTTGCAGAAGAAAACCGTCGATCTCCTCTACCGTATTCACCATAAAATCCTCACCATTCATGTACAAATGGGGGCCCACTTTTAACTGTAGAAACCCTTGTTGCAGAAGAAAACCGTCGATCTCCTCCTCCACGTTCTCCATAAGAGACCAATCCTTCATATTTGAGTTGAGGTTCACTTTTGACTGTACGAAACCTTGTTGCGGAAAGAAACCGTCGGTCTCTTCCGCCACTGCCTCCGCAAAATCCCATTATTCATGTACAAGTTGAGGCCCACTTTTGACTGTACCAAACCTTGTTGCAAAAGAAAACAGTCGATCTCCTCTACCGTGTTCACCATAAAATCCTCATCGTTCATGTACAAGCTGGGGCCGCTTTTGACTGTATGGAACTTTGTTGCAGAGGGAAACAGTCGGTCTCTTCCGCCACGGTCTCCATAAAATGCAGACAGTTACTGACACGGTTGAAGTTGCTGCAGCACGGACAAGACCCTTCATTAATCCACAGAGAATACGGTGGCGGCACTTCTTGTGATGACGTTCATCTTCGTTGTCTCTCTTATTACCCGAGCCATATCTTCTTCTTCATATTCCTCTTTCGAAATGAAATATGGTTCGTGTCTTCCGGAGCAAGAACTGAGCCTGGCGCTATTCAAAAAAAAAAAATCAGTAAATGTTTTCTAGGTTATTTGAAAAAGGAATGAAAACTTACAGGCACTGAGTCATGTGAATATCTCCTTGCGCCTAGGGTTCACTATCCGAACCACTAGGTACCACACGGCAAAGCCATCTTAGATCTCCGAACTCGTCGTCTACAGACTGTTCATTGGCACACTGTGTACTTTTCCAGAAGCGTTGGAGCAATTCTTTGCTTGACATTTTTGGTTTTTGTCATTCCATTGTATTTCCAATTCTTTGAGTTATCTCATTTTCGGTAGATCTGAGTTGTCCCCTTCGTTGTCATCGTTGTCATCATCATCGTCAATGACAACCACGGGCTTGTTGTTACCTACCTCTCTGTGGCCACTTGGCATCTGGAGGCAGAGTACTAATATCTGGCTTGGGAATTACTAGTCCAGTGCAGCCAAAGGAGGACACAGAAAGTCGAGACCGCGAAGTGCCATGGTTTCTGTGATGATCAATGTAGTGGTAGTAACTTTGGAAGAGGTGGAGAATGAATTGCGCATGTTGTGTTGCGTTGAAGTTCAGGATTGAATAATGTCTGGCGCAAGGGACTGATCAGCTAATGAAGGTTTATTGCTCGCAGTGTAGAGAGGACGCCTGGTGTGGTGGTGAAATCTAATGAGAGGGTGAAGGAATTGGGCAATTTATATTGCGCGCAGTTCAAATTGAATGGCAAGTGAGATTGGCTTGTGGCGTACAAGCTACTATGAGACCGTGCGAGAATGTTCTTTGGTCGCTGTGCAGGAGTGGGAGCACTTCGACCTTGGTCAGTGCTGTAGCCTGAAGGTTTGAACCCACCTGTGCCTGAAGGTAGTGACTGGTACCATCCCCGGTCGCTGACAGGCTAGAAAACCAAATGATAACATGTGAGTCGGATAGTCCTCCTGGTCGTCCGGCCGCCGCCCTCCCATATCCTCCTCGATTCCATCAGAACAACCACGCATGAATCATTCCAGAGAGCAGAACATAGAAGAAGAGTTCATAAAGTTCGTCGAGACAGATTTTCAAGAGGATACAGCTGTTTCTGAGGGAATATCGATAAATTATTTACAAGAGCGCGCTCGCGAGTAGCTCGCTCAATTGAACCACAATTATCACCTTCACCACAACAACCACAGATAAATTATATTATAGAGACGAAAACATGAAATGAAGTTTATTAAGTTTAATTCCAGAGATTATCAAAGTATATTTCATGTTGTGGAGGCAATGATAACTGATTACGTATTCACGAGCCAATCTTTATGGTAGACGACGGGTAGGGTGATATCATATGATGGGACCGAACTGCGCACATAGTTATGTACCGGTGACAATTTTGTTTCACTTCATTTTATGCACGTGTATCTACGTCACTAATACTAAACCAAGAATTGGGTAGCCTATGTGTTTGATGATATAACCAGTCCTCATTCCAACTGCTCACACCTTACGGCGATAACTGCAATCTAGTAAATCATCTGCGTTATCTCTTCGACACATTCTGTAGCCATAATTTTTTCAGACGGCCATATTTTCAGCAGCGTTGAATTGCTGATAAATCCTGTCGTAGATCCATCTACTTGACATTCACAGTGACACCATATTCTTATTACCCAGTCCACACCTGATTTTTCACCCGTCCACCAGTGGTTTATTTTTCGAGTCAAGGCCAGTCCCTACGTTTAGAATCGATGAGAATGTTCGAATTGTTCTATCTCGAACAGGAAGAATGCTATGAAGATTAGACCTTCGTTGGTCTGCCGGATGTGAGCCTCCGTTACCGGTATGGAACGGAGAGAAGCTTCAAGTACATGAAGGGGTAATAAACAATACACGTGAACCACATTTAAAAGTTGATATCTTCAGTCATGGCTGCATATCCAAATACTCCGTCAAAAATTCTGTCTAGATCAATATACACAGTAGCGTCAGCGTAGATAATCGCAGAGGCAAAGACAAAGATTGTGATGGACGCTAAAAGCAAAACATGGAAAGTAATCGATGCTCTGACTAACATCATAAACAGTTTGAATGTCTCGAAGAGAAAAACAATATCCTTGTACTGATAGTCTCTATCCACAGTCCACCGGCTTGTAATTCCATCGAAGAAAAGAGTCCTCATAGCGAACTACCCCCAGCATTAGAAACGTTTGACTTGCTATAAAGGAATCCCAACTGGCGTCGTGGCCCGTGGGTATAAAAGCGTACAACTTGATACACAGTACACTGAATATGCACGTTTCACCAAACGAATGGCCTCGGGAGAAATTTATCATCTGTTTTGCTCCTATTGTCACCAAAGCTCAAATGATTGTAAAACCCTCAACCGTAGCCCGCTCGAGGCCACATCGTATACGAAACACTACCAAAAAAACAAAATGACCGGGCAGAAGAAAGCCGTCCTCAAACTGGAGCATGTATCAATCAAGTTGACTGGTAATTCAACTTGAAGTAGTATTTACATAAGTAATAACCAACTTATTTTGCACTGGCCGTGCAGAGCAATACAGTTGAATATGGAGCTGCCATATACGCAAGCACAGCTATATGGGTTATTGGAAAGTATACCAAGTACATACCCTATCATTTGAGAGTGAAATTAGCATTCATACCTACGCTCCTCACAGGGCCAGTGCTACAACATTGACTGGCAAAACACTTATCGCCAGGAAAGTGCAGAGCAAACAACCAATGAAAATAGTAGGCTCGAGTTTAAACTGAGAAATAAAAAACGCATCATGACTAGCAGGATTAGAGCTAGCATCCTAGACTCCACAGATAGACGTTCTTCTGAAGAAGCAAACTTAATCAGTCAAACAAAAAGAGTTGCAAGCTGCAGTTGAACTGGATGAGTGGGGAAGAAAAGAAGCCAAGGAAACAGGTAAGTTCAAGCACAGCAACGGAGCTCCATCCTCTCAGAAGGTATTGACTGCGAATCATAGAGACTGATGAGCCGATATTTGTGCTTTGTACACGTTGCGATATATTGGCAACATAAGTAGTCTGTCACAAGCTTCCGTGGTGAAATGGTATCATAATTGCCTTCCAAGCAATTGGCTCGGGTTCGATTCCCGACGGATGCAAAGTTTTTTTGTAGACATTCGCTCACTCAGATAGCTGGCCATGATGCCGTGGGGAATCGTGTAATTCGTAAAACTATGACTTGCCGTCATGGTGAATTATTGATTTCATATGAACAGCAGCTGCTATCGAGAGAATGTGCAGCAGTTTTGGAATTTCAGTTCTCGCCAGTAACTCGCCCATGATTGGAACCCCAAGCCTTATGCATCTTTCTCCGACATTCCACCGTCATAGACCATTTTGTGCTTTATTCTTTACATAGGCTCATCTTCCTCCATTGTAGGGATATGGATAAGGATACCATCTTGATTACTGTACTGGTACTAATCTTCAGATTCAATGGTGCAATGTTGCACAGAGATATGCATATTGGTATCGCTGCACAATCCCAGTAAACGTTAAAGACTCAAAGTGATCCACAGCCCCGGGGACCAGGGCATTGCACGCATGTCCCCGAGCAGTTGTGTAGGCTGATATTTTCCTAGAATATACCTTTAAATCCCACTCTCTATTCCGTTATCTTCTGGTACATAATATGAAGCTATACACTTAGGATGTGTCGTGGTATTGTGTAAAATGTCTTAAATCCATTTAGGTTTGCTCAGGCAATGGTAATAGGATACACCATTTCACATCACTACACCTCGAATCTCTTTGCTGCGCCGAACCCACTACGCCTCACATCCCTTCCCTGAGCTGAATTCACGCCGCTCCCCATCGCTTCGCTTTGCTTTACCAATCATCCACCACGAGCACCAGACACCAGGTCCGAAAAAAATCCAGGGTTTAGGGTTGGGTTTCAAACGGTCCAATGGAGGTCGACTTCAGAAGCATACGCATAATATGGTTGCATATAACACATCATCTCATCCCTCCCAACTCACCGGGTCGGGTCATCTCATCTCATGAATTTGAGTCTAATTCACCGGAGGGAGCGAGTGCAAACATTGTGCTTCTACATACATACATGATACATATGGAAATGATAAATCTATCTATCCACGGCATCCTCCGTGCGCTAGCTATTAGCAAACTCTAGATACGTTTCTGTATCTTTAGGGCTGAAAGAAAGCGTGGAGGCTATCTGAGGCTATCTGTATGTAGCTATACATAGTGAGTAGAACACCAAAGCTGATCCTCGCTACGGATATATCTTACAAGCCGCCACGCTCGCCGAATCCCCGAGAGAAAAACTAGCCATCGTAGAATCACCGAAAGAGTTACGGCAACCCCGGTTTCGCGCTTTTTCTATAAGCACTGTGGATGGAATTTCGTTTTCCGCCTTATGAAGCAGTGTAGGCGTTAGGTTATCGATTGAGTTTTGCGAATGTAATGCGAATACGAAATCTTCAATTCGGTTTGCCACTGTAGAACCTCTCTATAAGAATATACGATTTAAGTATAAGGCAAAGTACATGGCTGCTGGTCGACGGTTTTAGCATGGGAAGTATGAATATTTTTGATAAAAGAATATGCTTATGAAAACGCAGGTGCGGCTGAAGATACTTACATACAGCTGAACAGTTTCATGCAAAAGCAATCGGTCCGCCTTTTAACCTGCAGAGCTCTGAATTCTAATTCACAAAGCTACCGAGATTCTGGAGCTGGTCTCGATTTGGGACGATAATCGGGATCCAAAAGACTGGAACCCGAGCTCTAAAGTCTTTACAGAGAGACCTGCGTAGACGCCGCATGAGAGGAGCAAATAGTATGCAGGAGACGTGGTTGGATGATTTCTTGGTGGTTATGTGGAGTATACTCTAGTATAATATTATACAGAACTACACAACTGTGCGCTTTGAACATGGAAAAGAGTGCAGAGGTTGAGGAGCATACACTCCTCCTTCAAAGAGCGGACTGCATTACCAGTAATCACTCGTGCCAAGCTAAAATTTATGTCAGAAATAACATCTGTAGAAGACTACACACCCCCTAGTCCCAAAGTATTCTTTCAGGGAGGTTCCACAGTAGTTGGTTTTCTAGGAATCCCAGGTCTTTCAGGGCGCCCCGGGGTTTCATGGTACGCTCTCCGGGCTCCACAGGACGGAAAAATAATTCCGTCCGAGGTTAAAAAGTCTGCTCAACGTGTGAACTTTTTGTAGCTTCGGCGATGAACGACAGAATGGTGGTTGTAATACTAAATCTAGTTAATCTTGGAAAATGAAATAATGATACACTTGTAACGATTATCCCACCAGGTATACCAAGACGGCCGACCTTCCCGCTTCGGGCCGACTAACCGACCCGCCCCCACACCTGACCTACCGAAAGTCTTCACCGAGAGGCTGTTTGCGAACGTTGCTTCCCCGCATCTCTGTATCTGGCCGTAGCACCGTAGCACTGTATTTCTCTAGTTCGTGGCAATTCACGAATTTACACTTCTAAGCTGCATCAACTCCGCACGAAGAGACGATGTATAAATCAGGATCGAGCCCATTTACCCCGTCGCGTCAATCCCATCACCAACCTCAGCCATCATCATGACTACTTCGAGTTTCATTTCCCCCCTTATAATCAACGGCGTCGAACGTGTCGGTCCCAAAACCGGCCCCGTCATCTCCCCCGCTTCGGGCAAACAAATCTGGTCCTACACCTCCGCCTCTGTTCAAGATGTCGACGACGCTATTTCTGCCGCTACCGCCGCGTTGCCGGCGTGGAAAACTACCCAGCTCAAAGACCGCCGTAACTTGCTCTTGAAAGCTGCGGATGCTCTCCAGGCATGTTATGATGATATTGCGGAGGCTATGAAGGAGGAAACCGCCTCTGATGATGGTTGGGCGGCATTCAATATCAACACCTCTATTGAGATTATCAAAGGTGTAGCCCAGAGACTACCCAGCATTGAGGGACGTATTCCTCAATGCGAGGACCCCAGTATGACCGCCATGGTTGTTAAGGAGCCATATGGAGTTGTTCTTGCCATTGCCCCATGGTAATTACCCCCTCCTCCGGAAACGGAGTGTATCCCAACGTAGCGAATGACTTGAAGCGTCCTGAATAAAAGCTCACACCTACCAGGAACGCACCTATAATCCTCGCCATTCGCGCCATAATCTTCCCCCTCGCCGCCGGTAACACAGTAATTTTCAAATCCTCCGAGCTCTCCCCCAGAACCCACTACCTAACCGCCCGTATCTTTGCGCAAGCCGGTTTCCCCGCCGGAACCGTCAACTTGCTTGGCCACGTCCGTGAAGATGCTGAAACTATCACCACCGCTATCATCTCCTCCCCCTCCGTGCGAAAGGTGAATTTTACTGGTTCTACACCCGTTGGTCGTAAGGTTGCTGAAATCGCCGGTCGTCACCTTACTCCTGTCACCTTGGAACTAGGTGGAAAGGCTCCTATGATTGTTTGCGAGGATGCGGACTTGGAAGCTGCTGCTATCGGTGGTGCGTTTGGTGCTATGCACCATGCTGGTCAGATCTGTATGAGCACTGAAAAGATCCTTGTTCATGAGTCAGTGGCGGAGAAGTACACCGAGGGACTCAAGGCGGCGGTACAGAAGATGTATGGAACGAGTCAGTATTTGATTCAGTCATCGGGAGTGGATAGAGTAGATGGATTGGCCAGGGATGCGGCTGGATTGGGAGCTGGAGTTTTCCCGGAGGCAAAGAAACAGCAGAATCTGAATGAGTATAATAACACGGTGGTTTGTAATGCAAATGATAAGATGAAGCTGTGGCAGACGGAGAGTTTCGGACCTGTGGTTATGGTGTCCAAGTGGACAGATGAGGAGGAGGCGATTAGAATGGCCAATGACACCGAGTATGGATTGTCGGCGGCGGTTTGGACAAAGGATATTGGAAGGGGTATTCGCATTGCCCGGAGGATTGAGAGCGGGTGAGTTTTCCTGGTTTTCTAAGTGTTTTTATTTTATTTTTAAAAAAGGGTTCCGAGGCTAACTGATGGATGATAGGGCGGTTCATATCAACGGTGCTACAGTACACGACGAAGTTTCGTTACCGCATGGTGGTGTGAAGAACAGTGGATATGGAAGATTCGGTGGTACTTGGGGTTTAGAGGAGTTTATGACTACTAAGACTATTACTTTTAAGGTTTAATTTTTGGGAGTTTATGGTACCAATAAAATGGGGTTTCGGATTGTCAAGTACATATTTATCAAATTTAAGTATTTCAATCATAGTGGTAATTCACAAGATAAATAGTGGAGAACTTCAATATCATTGGAAGGAATTCGATATGTCTCGCAATTAAGGGCTGCCTATTGGGTTTTCGCTTCTGTCTGATGTGTAAAAATCACATTCTATCGAGATTTCCACGGCTCCCTACAGAAAGGTATCTGGATAAACCATTACTCTATTAGGATATTCTGCATACAATCTGTCATTTTCACACCTCCTAGTTATTGCTCCAACCTCCTCCCCAACTTCTTCCCGGTCATATCATCATTTCACCCCCTCCAGCCTCATCAATTCAAAGCTCCAAGTCACCCACTATCTCCTCGTCAATCACCGCCTCCTCCATATCCTCTTCAGTGTTCTCCATGCCGTTGAGATTGTCAGCAACCAACAACAACTCCTCCATTTCAATCATCTGTTTCAACAGCCTCTCGTTGTAAATCATCATCCTCTCAAAATTATCTCTCATAATCCTCCTCTCCTCGTCAACTTCCGCACGGACCATAGGAGTCCAAACACTGAGGAACTGACGGACCTCAATGTCAAGATCCATATCCTCCGCGGAATTGAAACCAAGGTAATCGGGGGTAATCAAGGAAGGGGGGTTACGGTGGTCTCCTAGGCTATGAGGAGGGATCAACAAGTGGTCTAGAACGTGGAGTACGCCGGATTTGGTGATGCCATCGGAGATCACTAGGGAAGTTGGATGTTAGCATGGGAAAACCCTTGAAGGGATACGTAGGCAATGAAACATATGCAAAAGCAGGTATGTAGATGAATGGAGGGATGTAGATATGCTGGGATAGATGGGATTCCAGTTTGGACTTCCGTATGTCCTAGGGGGTTTTCCTAGGAGGGTTTTC